CCCACTCCTGAATCATTACATGGTTTTAAAGACAAAATAATGGGCCTAAAGTCAAAGGTCCAGTCCACTAATTACAATTGAAAAGCCTAATTAACTAAACTAATCAGTTTCATGACAAGCTGAACAATTCAGTGCAGAGCCGCGACTTTAAAGCACGATTTTGGGTCTGAAAATGTCCAAACTGGGTTTTTCGTCCAACATGAGAATTTTAGATCTCTGTCTTATCTTTACAGGGACACCAAGTTTGCCAAATTCCGAGTTGAATAGCTCCAGATGTGGCTTGCACAAGAAACTGTGTCAAAACAGGAAATTCTTACGGAAAATTAGTAAAATTTATAACTAATTCCTAAATGATTCACTAATACAAATCTAAACTAAAACATGAATATAGGATACTAAAAAGGATCAAATAAGGTAAAAGCACATAAAGAAAGTTATACTAAAATATGGGTATCAAATACCCCCACACTTAATCTTTTGCACTCCAGGGCAAAACTAAAAATCAATCTAATACAACTTTTCTAAAACTTTATCAAAGAATGAGCAAAACTTCTTAAACTAATGAATTCACAAATGTATAAGAAGAAAGAAAGAATACAACATTCAAACATCAAGGTAAAACAACAATCCATGAATACAAATGCAACATTAAAAGCTAGCAAGGTGATAAGCTCAATTAAAGAATGATTCAAAAATAGTAGAACCCTCACAAGACAGAAGTGGTCCTTGCGAGTTTCCTGATTAAGTCTTCTATAGTCTACACAAACTCGCCAACTGTTTTGAACTCTGGTTGGAACCAACTCAGCATCCTAGTTCCTCACCACAGTCATCCCAGTCTTCTTGGGAACCACCTACACAGGACTAACCCATTGCTATCAGAAATATGATAAATTATACCTGCTGCCAATAACTTTGTGACCTCTTTCTTCACCACATCTAAAATAGTAGGATTGAGTCTTCTCTGTGGTTGCCTCACAGGTCGGAACTCATCCTCCAGTAGAATCCGGTGCATGCATATGGCAGGACTAATCCCGGGAAGGTCAGCAAGAGTCCAACCAATGGCTTTCCTATGGTCTCTCAAAACCTGCAACAGTCTCTCCTCTTGATCAGATTCAAGAATGCTAGCTATAATGACAGGAATCCCTTGATTGTCCTCTAAATAAGCATACTTCAAATGTGAAGGTAAAGGCTTTAACTCTACTAATGGTGTCTGCACAGTGGATGGTACTGACAATGAAGAAGGTAGAGATGGAGATGATGTCTCGGATGCTGGTGGTGAAACATCTACTGATGTGGCTAAATCTGTTGTACCTGAAATAGCAACACTAATTTCTGCACAAATAGCACACATAGATGAATCATCATCACAAGTACATGATGGGTCAGTAAAATCAGAAAAATTAGCAAGTAGATCATCATCAAAATCTGTGCAATCATCAACTAATAAATCAATAACATCCAAAATAAAAATAGAATGGTCTTTTATTGGATATCTCATAGCCTCAAAAATATTAAATTGCACCAAATTATCTCCAAACTCCATAGAAAGAGTCCCTGCATGCACATCTATCTTTGTCCTTGCTATCCTTAGGAATGGTCTCCCAAGGATCAATGTAGCATGACTGGATGACTCATCCTCCATCTCAAGAATGTAGAAGTCTGCAGGGAAGAGAAGATCTTCTACTTTGACCAGCACATCCTCCACTACCCCAAGTGGCTGCACAATGCTCTTGTTTGCCAACTGAATGCTCACACCTGTAGGAATCAAGTCTCCAATCTGCAATGATCTAAAAACAGATGCAGGCATAACATTTATTGAAGCACCTAGATCTAGCATAGCATTAGTAAAAATTTCTTCTCCTATAGTACAAGGGATAGTAAAAGTTCCTAGATCTTTGCACTTTTGTGGCAAATCAGGAAGTAGATCATGTGGAATAATGGCAGACACATTTTTCTTCTGGAGTAATGCAGAACCATTTCTTCCCATGTTCACTCTCTCATAACCCTTTAACTTCCTCTTATTAGTACATAATTCCTTAAGGAACTTTGCATATTTTGGAATTTTTCGGATGGCATCAAGGAGAGGAATGTTAACTTCCACCTTGCTAAACATATTTAGCAGTTCAGTATCAATTTCTAATCTCTTCTTTGCTGGTCTATTTGGAAGGGGGAGTGGAATCTCTGATCTCCTCTTTGCTCCATCATTATTTTCAGCTGCACCTGCAAAGGAAGAATCACATTCCACTGGTGCTACAACTGATTGTTGCTGCACTGGTGGTAACTCTTTTCCACTTCTCAAAGTAATGGCACTCACATTCCCCTTTGGATTTAAAACTGTTTGGGAGGGAAGTTTGCCAGAACCTTGAGATTGAAACTGATTTACCTGAGATGCTAACTGGCCAATTTGAGTCTTTAAATCTTGGACAGTGGCATCCATATTTCTCTGAAACTGCAAATTTTGTGCAGCCATCTGTTGCATCATCTCCTCGAATGAAGGTCCACTCTTTTGTGCAGGAGGAGGTCTATCAATTTTGTGCAGCCATCTGTTGTATCATCTCCTCGAATGAAGGTCCACTCTTTTGTGCAGGAGGAGGTGTAGGTGTTGGTGGTTGTTGTTGCTTGTCGCAACCCGAAAATTTTTGATCTTGCGACCTATGGTCTAGACATCCTTTTGAAAATCTCATCAATTAAGGAATGCCCGGACACCAAACTAATCCTTAATTAATGGTTTTAAAAAATAGGTTCATGGAGTCGCCACCAATGTTTTACTCAAAACATTGGAAAAAGGGAATATTTTTTAAAAAAGAAGTCCAATAATGGCCTTTATAACCAGAATTGGGTTCGGGGGTCGGTTACATGTAGGGAAGGTATTAAGCACCCCTACAGCGCCCTCAATCGGTACCCTATGATGAAGTTAACGTGATAAGAATTAATAAATTAAATATTAGATCCCCTTTATTAATAACTATTTACATGCTTAAAATATAAATTAAGCGATTAACCCTAAAATATTTACATTATGACGTTTATTATAAAAAAAAAAAAGTGATAAAGATGAGGAATAAAAGGAAGAGAAGAAGATTGACTGAAATACCTCTTGAACGAGCTTTATTGAATCTTCAAATATGGAGAAGGTGCTTTGTGGCGACCTTTCACACTACAGTATGCCTCACAGATCTCAAGAAATACAATAGGAGGGAGAAAGAAGATAGAGATGTGACACAAATCTCAAGAAATATAATAGAAGGGAGAGAGATAGAGAATTTTCGTGCTCAAAGGAGTCTTATTCGAAATTTCTCTGGCCGCCTTGCGAACTGTGCTCGAGGCTTCAATTTATAGGAATCAGAAATGGGCCAGAACGGCCTGTTCCGAATTCGGAACGGCCCATTCTGGTCCAGTAATTATGCGCAAATTACACACCCTGGAACGGCCCGTTCTGAAAACGGAAGGCCCGTTCCAGAGTGGGAATTAACACAAGGTTCCCCTTTCCAGAATGGCCCGTTCCGAATTTGACCCTTTTGGAACGGCCCGTTCTGGAATTGGAACAGCCCGTTTTCGTATTGGAATGGCCCGTTGCAGAAGAGGGATCTTTAGGTTTTTTAGACAAATTGGAATGGCCCGTTTTGATATTGGAACGGCCCATTCTGGGGTTCAGAACGGCCCGTTCCGATTTTGGAACAGCCCGTTCCGGGCTACTGAAACTACTTTATTTGGCCTTTAGGCCTTCTGATATCTTGTCTTGTTGTTTGCCTGCTTCGGGAGCTCTTTAACGGGGGTTCATTTCCTTGTTTGTGTGCCCCCGGATGAAATTGGGTGTCTACATTGCTGCTACTTGAATGGAGGCTGATATTTCCTAGAAGGTTGGAATGAATGTTGTTGTTGTTGCCCCCATTTCAGATTTGGATGATCCTTCCAACCTAGGTTGTATGTTTGGGAGTATGGATTGTAATTTTGTTGCTGTTGTGGAAGCCTATATTGTTGTTGCTGTTTAGTGTAAATTCCAGAAACATTTGCATTTGTTTCTTGTAGAGTAGGACATGAATGTGTATAGTGCTCCTCTGAAGAACAAATGCCACAAATTGTTGCTGGACCTTCACTTGCTGAACTCGCTTACTGTTTTTGTTGAATTGCTAAATGTCTCACCATGGTGGTCAGCTCATTAATTTTGTTTTCCATCTTTTGATTATCCACACCACAAATAGAACTAGAACCAGCACCAATTGCCATCTCATTTACTCCATTGACAGCTCCTCTAAATCCAAATTGTTGAGTGTTGGCTGCCATGTTCGAAATGAGTTGTCTTGCAGCATTTGGTGTCTTATCCATCAATGCTCCTCCATTTGCTGCATCTATCATGTTCCTATCCATCAAGGTTAGTCCTTCATAAAAATATTGAATCAATAATTGCTCACTAATATGATGTTGAGGACATGTAGCACACAGCTTGTTGAATCTCTCCCAGTACTCATACAAAGTCTCTCCATTCAGTTGCCTTATACCACAAATCTCTTTCCTAATTGTTGCTATTCTGGATGCAGGAAAGAATTTCTCTAGGAACAACCTCTTCATTTGATTCCATGTAGTGATTTTTGCTAGTAGAAAGTAGAGCCAATTTTTTGCAACACCATCCAGAGAGGAAGGAAATGCCTTCATTTTGACATGATTTTTAGGAACTCCTTGAGGTCTCATGGTGGAACACACTACATGGAACTCCTTTAAATGTTTATGAGGATCTTCACCTGCAAGTCCATGAAACTTGGGCAACAAATGGATAAGTCCAGATTTAAGCTCATAATTTGTTTGATTATCAGGATATTGGACACACCATGGTTGATACACAACATTAGGTGTAGCCAATTCCTTCAAAGTGAGTTCACGATTATCAGCCATGATATCAAATTCAGAATCAGTTTCAGAAGAAGAGCAAGATTGAAAATTAAAAGTATCACTATTTGAGCAGGATTGAAAATTAAAAGTAGAATTAATAACTACTTCAGAATTAACTATACTACTATTATTATTCTGACTAGACCTTAACCTATGATGAAGTGTTCTTTCTATCTTAGGATCAAAATCATGTAATGTACCAGGGTTGGACCTAGTCATGCAAGTAAGAATACATACAAGGTTATGAAGTCAAAAGTCAACAGAAAAGTCAAAAGTCAACAAAAAAGTCAATATTTACTATATAAGCAACTGTAACATGCAAAACTATACCAAATGAATTTTAAAAAATATTTCACCACCCGAACATCATTTCATACATGATTTCCTAATTTTGAGAATTTTTTGGTGATTTTTAAAAATATCAAAAACAGTAAAAAATTGAAAAAGTGGTCTAAATGAAGGAATTTGGCAAAAAGGACCCCCAACACCTGTAGTTATTCCATAATAGGGGTGCCTTGATGTGTTAATTTTAGCTACCTTCCCACCAATTTTCAGCCTAATCTGACAACTTTCGCAAAAAAGACCAAAATACCCCTACAAAAAATTATACAGAACTAATAGAAGATGAAGGCATTTCGTGCTTTTAAGCTCAGGTTACCCCCTTTAAGGGGTAAGTTTGCTCAGAATCACGTTTTACCTTTGGAGACAAAGTTTCAGCTCAATCAGAGAACCTTTGAAAATTTTCGGAATGGTTTCATGGAGAGCCAAAGCCAACTTCTTCAGGAAATGATTTCTACTAGTCCTCTGTTTTCAAAATGTTTTTTCCTCTGTTTTTCCTCTATTTCCTTTCCCTGTTTTTCCAGCTAAAATACAGAACAAAGAAACCACACAAGATTTCTACAAAAACACTACAAATTATCTACACAATACAATTCAAGACAAACACAATAGTACTGAAAACTAAACTGCAAAAACAACAATGAATTAGAGACAGATTAGAGTCAGAACTAGTGAATTACAAAATACTACACTATAAATTCAAAAACATTTCTACAAACAGTTAGTATACATTTTAAAAATCAAAACAAAATGACTCATGTCCCTGGCAACGGCGCCATTTTGATAGCTCAGTCGTATCACTATCAAACAATTCTAGGTTCCTCAATAAATTTTTGTAATATAGAGGACTTAACCTAGGTCATCTCTCAAGGACACAAGCACATTGTATTTTGAATTTAATCATGTATGTAAATCAGTTTAGAACTCAGGGGGAAAAGATTTTCCAGCAAACAATTAGAGCAAAGTATTAAGAAAGCAAAGAAATCAAATCAACACAAAATTTCAGTAGTATAGAAATTCGGTTCAAGGTTTCAATTCCTACGGTATAATCATCATTGTTCACAACAAATACGAATTATTAATCCATCTAATTCAATCCGAAATTAATCCAAACAGTAATCTAAATCTAGATTGTGAATTTTATTAAAACAGAAACTACAATCGCACATTCCAAATTTCAACAAAATTCAAGAAAGTAACCGATTGAATTAGGGATTTAGGTTATTTCTAATTAGAAAATACTTCTTCTCATTTTCATTTAGGGTTCAAAACAGAGATTCAATATCATGAAAAACAGAATTTACACTAAACAAAAAAAAAGGGAGAAGAAAGAATTCGTTCGGTAAAAATTAGAAACTCAAATTTACCGTAGTTCTTGAAACCTTAAACCGATTAAGGAATTAGTCTTGCCTCATTATCATGTTGTAGCAAATTCCAATTGAGATAAGAAATTCTGTGAGACAGAGAAAAATTCGTGTAATAGAAAGTGAGAGAGAAGAAGATGAAAAGTTTCTAAAGAGAGAAGAGAGAATTTGAGAGAAACTTCTTGAGGAAGTTATCCCAAATCTGAAAATATGAAAAAACGATTTTCCAAAACCACAACTCCTGAGTCATTACATGCTTTTAAAGACAAAATAATGGGCCTAAAACCAAAGGTCCAGTCCACTAATTACATTGCAAAAGGCTAATTAACTAAAGTAAACAGTTTCATGACAAGCTGAACAATCAAGTGCAGAGCCGCGACTTTAAAGCGGGATTTTGGGTCTGAAAATGTCCAAACTGGGTGTTTCGTCCAACATGAGAATTGTAGATCTCTGTCTTATCTTTACAGGGACACCAAGTTTGTCAAATTCCAAGTTGAATAGCTATGGATATGGCTTGCACAAGAAACTGTGTCAAAACAGGAAATTCTTACGGAAAATTAGTAAAATTTATAACTAATTCCTAAATGATTCACTAGTACAAATATAAACTAAAACATGAATATAGGATACTAAAAAGGATCAAATAAGGTAAAAGCACATAAAGAAAGATATACTAAAATATGACTATCATGTAGTGACCTTCCCCTTTCCCTTGTCTCTTTCTTTAGCTAGATCCTTAGAGGGTTCAATTTTTTTTTTCCTTTTCAATAGACTTTCCCTCCCTCTTGTGGTCTTTCCTTAGAGATGAAGAGTGGGAGCTTACTCTTTTAAAAGTGGATTTTCTCATTCTTTGTTGTTCAACCCTTACACAAAGTTGGACCAAGTCATTTAGGTCCCTGTAGGGTAGTAGCTCCACTTGGTCTCTTACCTCTAAATTAGGACCACTCAAGAATCTAGCTACAGTTGTAGCTTCCTATTCCCTAAGGCATGCCCTCATCATGTAAAGCTCCATTTGTTGCCTGTATTGTTCTACAGACATATCTCTTTGTTGCCTTTAGAGCTTATTCATAAGCTCCCTTCCATAATAGGTGGGAATATGCCTCCTCCTCATGGCACTCTTAAGATCATTTCCAATATTGGACAGGAGGGTCGTTATGGAGGTGCCTTTCTCTCTCCAAGGCTTTCCACCAATACATGGCATGCCCTTGGAAGCTAAAGGTAGCTAGAGGGACTTTCCTTTCTTCACTCATCTTTGTTAAATCAAACGAAGCGAAATTCCCACTAAAAGTTTTGAATATGACAAATGTAATATATATTGTTATTATTAACTTGTGCATTAGTGTTTCAGTCGAAAAAAATATCAGACGATAGAAAAGCCAGATTCAAGGCTAAGGTTAATCCAGGCTCAAATCAGATACAAAGTTTATCAAATAGAAGCCTGAGGTATCAGACGAAAAGAAGCGTCAAGACTAGATGTAACATCTAGTAACCAGGCAATGTCGTGAAAGCTGAAGTTATCAATATCAAAGATGAATTTATCCTTCCACACTCAGAAGAAAAGAAACATCAAGATCAGATGTATCACCTAGTAACTAGACGATGTCATGAGTGCTGAAGCACATCTGAAGTCCACTAATCACATTCAAAGGAATTATACAAGAAATACAAGAGGACATAGTCGTGAATAATAATTTGTTCAAAAATGCATTCCCCGGTCAAGACCAAGTGCCTCAGAGAAAGGAAACCTACTTTTCAGGAAAAGAAAGCACCGCAATAGGTAAACTGATAGAAAAGTACAAATATACCTAGACCATGATTGGAGTCAGATATCAAAGAAATCAACTACACAGAAAAGCTCCAAAAATATAAGAAAACATTTAATGCAAGGATCAAATGCATTAAATGAGAAGATCTTCATGAACATGAACGAAGCATTCATCTGCATCAAGAAAAAGATTACGCTCCAACGACCAAATTCAAATTTAAACAACGGGTAGATTTATCAGATGTATATAAACATCAAGAAATAGAAGAAGAAGATAGAGAACGAAAAAGAAACAAATCGTGAAAGACAAAAAGTTTCAAAGCTTTAACCACTCTTCTTCAAAAAGCACTTCGTGTATATCTGTGTAGAAACTAAGATAGCTTATCTTAGTGAGTGTTGCCAATAGTTCATCCTCTCTACAAGAGTTACTAAACACTCAGACAATGTTCTTTGAAAAACTAAGGTTACGCACCTTAGTGAGTGTAGAAATTACCATACCCTCTCTGTGAGAGTTATACACACACTCAAAACCTGCAACTCCTGTAAAGCCTGAAGAGGCTAGTAGAAAGAATACTTGTGAACCAAAAGTGGTTGAGAATACTAGAACTGGTGAGTGAAGCCAATGGGCCAGAAGTGGTCAAGAGTACTTATAGAACCAGAAGTGGTTAAGAATACTAGCATCGAGTTGACAAGCCAAAAGTGGCTGAGAATACTTGTAATCCTGTGTGATTAGTGGAACCCTTTTGTGGAAGGAAACTGGACATAGCTTAGATTGAGTGAACTAGTATAACTGTCCATGCATTTTCTTTTCTTTTCAGCATTTCATACACTACACTTGATCTACTTCGATTTTCAACAAAGCTTTGGACGAAAGTCTATTTGACTCTATTAAAATTACTTGATCATACGATAACGTTTTTCAAACTGAAAACCTATTTATCTAATGTCTATATTGAAAATTAGGTTTGGTAAAACAAAATAAAAAAACTAGACGAAAATTTTTCTTAACTCTTCCAACCAAAAATACGCTTGCTAAAATAACTCTAAAATTTTCCTTTGAATCAGAACACACACATTCAACCCCCCTTCTCTGTGTTTTTCCGCTAACTTCAGTTGTTATCAGAGCTTGACCCCTTGGGTTGAGCATCTAACACTGCAGGGGTAAC